ATTGACAATCGTAAATAAGATGTGTTCTGTTCAAATCCTTTGACTTATTTTATTTGTATAGAAAGCGATTGTACACAATCTTGAGACATACTTGTAACGCGAATCCTTGCCATCAGGATTATTGTCAAAGCTCGTCTCTCTGTAAACGACGGAATTGCCCCAGGCGCAGCCGACGGGGAACGTGTCGCCGACCACCGCCCATTGAGGTTCTCCGTAAAACGCCATCACCTGTAATATACGATCAAACTTTGTTATCCAATTATATATATTGCAGCGTTTCACACACACATACACACGCGCGCGCGCGCACAAAAATACATTCACAGATTATTTAAAACATATTTATAGAATTTTATTTTTTTATCATTTTTCGACTAATTTGCAGTAGATTTTTTTAAGTTATTATTCTTCTAATTTTCATAACTGAGCAGTTTTCTATCTTTGCAACTAAATCCGAAATTAAAATTTTATTAAAATAACTTGATCTATGAAATTAATTATGAATGCAGTAATTAGAATATGTTATTTTATTCATTTGGCTCTCAAGTTTGGAAAAGACTTTCTTGTTTCTTGTAGCTCTCAAAAATTTTAAGTCACAACAAATTATTATAAAATTGCTTGTCGGAAGGCATATTCGTAGTGTAATGTTTTACCTTTCCAAGATCATGAATTAAGCCGGTGAGATGAAACCAATCCAGATCCGGATGTTTCTCCCTAATCGACTCCGCGGTTTGAAACGCATGAATAATATTGGGCAGATTGGTGTCCGGATCACTCTCGTCTACAAGATCGTTCAATTTGAGTAGAGCGTCTTTCACTGTCATCTTGAATTTGTCGAACTGAAGCCAATTTCTCATGCGAGCTGCAAAAGAAAAACGATTCTTTTACTTTGTCCTCAGTTTTTAACTATACTTGATAAAACGAATAATTATGCAACATAAATTTAGCCGTTTAAAATTTACTGCGAGACGTTAATTTATTTATTAATTTTCCATTTTTGTAATATGTAATTTTTTTTCTTTTATACTAACATTTCACAAAATCTACTGTTTGATTGGTGTGCATCTCTTCATAGGTTCTACGGACGCGCTGCTTGATAGGATCCTCGGAATCTTCATCGAAGTTGCGAAAGTTACTCTGCAATTTTCCGGCGTACACCGGCTCGGGCCGAAGCTGTTCCGAGGGATCCAGCAACGTGGGATGACCTCTACTCTGTTGCTGTAAGAAAAATAAATTATCTAAAAATCTATCAAGCAATTGATTCTGTGTATCATATATTCGTACACGTGATCTCTTTTAATGATTGATATGCGACACATCACGCCAGATTGAAGGAAAAAAACGACGTACATGTGTTAATATTTATCTATCTATCTATCTAACGCAAATACATGAAAAAAATGATATATACATATATGTTATGAAAACTTTGTGTACGATCGGAAGCGTAGAAGTCACCTTATGACACGATAACAAATTGTAATGTCAAATTAATATTGATAAGTGTTGTGCAACAATTTTATCGTCTTCTTTTTTTAGCACAAAAAAATTTTGCCTGTAATACACGAAGCACATGTCATAACATTCGCGAAACGAACGCATTGCATATAAGAGAGAGAGAGAGGAAATTTCACAACACAACACATTTTAAACGTGAAAATGAGCGCGAATTTGAAGATTCAATTTTTTATTTTTATATATAATATTTGTAATAATAGTTGCAAATATTTTATTTCAAATTGATTCAAATCGATGCAATAACGTTTTCGATTATTGGAGTGAAACAATAATTCCTATTAACCGCATAATTTTCGCAAACATTTATCACACATGTCAAGTTCATCTGTTCATAATTCCAAGAGTAATTTATACGAAATAATTAGTAAGATAACATAAGTAATAAATCTTGACCAACAATTCTGTTTCAATAGTGCAATATTATGTTAGTGATTGCATACTTGAATTTTTCTTTATTGAAAAACTTCATTAAGTAACTGGAGTACTTACGGTTGTGGCAGCCATCACGTAGTTGTCGGTTACTGATGAAACTACAAACTGTCGCGCTGCTTGTGTTCATGTTCGACAGCGAGTTAATTTATAAAGTCCAAGACAATTCACCCTTGATCTCTATATCGCTGGAGTAATGGTAATAAGCAAAGATGTGTATTAAACACTCACATCGTTATCGTTATCTCGGACCCCCCTTTCTCTGTTCCGTAATTCAGAACTAATATTGTAAAAATATAAACACACCATTAAACGTAAATGGGGTGATTAAATTATCGAAACTTTCATCTGATATTAAGCACACACGTACACACACATATATATATTAAATTAATTTTTTATCGAAATGCAGATTATATGTAATGCAATATGATAAAATTATTAAATTATAATAATTATCTAAAAAAAAAATTTCTTGCAGCGCTCTTGACTGACACGCCATAATACATTTTTTACGTAAGTAATGTAATAAATAATTTAATAATTTTCCATAAATTGCAGTTAGCTCTATTTGTGTGTAATAATATAAATATAAATTTTTTAATATTATATTAATATTGCCATATGCAATATGTACCAGAAAATACTGCAAGAAAGAACTTTTTATGTAAAACGAATCTTAGATGAATGCACAAATGTCACATTAAAATATGGTAATTGTCATAATGATAATGCAGAAATTGGACAGAAACTGACTTAGAAGGATATCAGTTATGAATCGTTATGAATGACAGCCTTTATATAAAGAAATTATATACGCGTCTCTATGAGTTGCTTTGAAAAAAGTTTACGACTGGAATTTTTTTATTTCGGCAATTTGATTTCAATGAGAGTTTTGTTCATTCTCATTGCGATGTGTTGATTTCGCAAAAACCGACAAATTCCATAAAACGATAAAACAATTCTTTAATAAACTAAAAAAAAAAAATAAATAAATGAAAAAATATTCAAATAGAAAAAATATTGACAAAAGCTTGGTTGTTTTTGTCAACTTTTGAAATTGGACGATTGCATTTGTTTTCAAAGAAACAAAACAAAATGATCAACGAGACAAATAGACGCCAATAATAGCCAATAGTCTAAAAATAAGCTTCTAAATCGTTCGTTTATAAATTGGCAATTTAAAACACTAAGATTAGTGACACTTCGTTTAACCATGTTAAAACCGGATTGGTTTGCCACGATGATCGGTTGACACTTGACACATCCGACGTGCAAATAATGTCAAATGTATAATACAATTGATACCATTTTGCGGCGAGATGGATCCAATTGCCGCGCGTTAATGGATTTCGCGTGGCGCATGTCGATCTTTGGGGATTTGATCCTCGATGGTGCGATGTCATCGCGAAACCTCGGCTACTGCGATTCACGCGCGCGACATGAATGACATGGCGAAAAGAAATGATAAATGACGAGCGTAATTTCTATTGATAACAAATGTAGTGCTTGCAGCTTGCACGATGCGTGGAATTCTCCACAATTCGATAACCTTTGATATTGCATAATCACGGTGACATATTACAACTAGATAATTTTTACCGAATAATTTACGTACGATCGAAATTTTTGAAATTTAGCGCGATTTCAATATTTTTCCACTCGCATTATCAGGCTTGATATTTTTTACTGTTCCTAGATATTTATAATTCGTATATTCCGCCGATAGATCAAAATATCAATCAAATGAAAAAAGAATGTTTGCTTTCGTGAGCGAATCAGAATGCAATGGAAATTGAATAGAAAGTTGAGTTGGGCTATAAAAGACAAATTATTATCGGAAATAATATTATCGAGAGGGTGAACTGAAACAGACGAAAATGGAATTTGAACAACTTGTCTCTTAATTTCACTTCATTTTACTTTGTGAGAAAATTTGTATTAAATTTATCGATGTCGTTACAATATACATACGACTAATATGCAAATCATGCATATTATTATATATAATATATGTATATGTATATACAATGCTTGATGTAAACTTATTCAAATCAAGCAGGGAGACGTCATCAGGGCGAGCTCGAGTCCGAGTAACTGGTGTTGCTGCCCCGCCGTCGAGAATTGTGCCGGTGTCTGTGCGACGGACTGCGCGAGCGAGATTTGTGCCGCGAGGCCGACTTTTTGCTCTTCTTGGATCGATGCGAGCGGGAGGAACTCGAGCTGTCGTAACTAAAATGATGCATATATAAGTAAGTTTTATAATATTCTCTAAAAATAAAACAATTTCAAAAGCATTCCACATGACAATCGAGTAGTTGGGTGCAATAGCAATGCAAATATTTTGACAGAAAACTCAAAAGTGAAGAATTTGAATATAAATGCAAGTTATGAGTGAAAGTTATCTTTAAACAAGTAACTTAACATTTATGATTTACATATTATACAATATAAAAATTTGGAACTAGCATTCAACTTCTTGATTAAATAACTTGAAATACCTTCGATGAGAACTTTTCTTTTTCTTGTGCTTCTTGTGCAATTTTTGTCTGTCCGTGCGGCTTCCGCTTCGACTTCTGGAGCGCTGCCGTGATCTTTTGCCGCTCAGATCTGCGCTCTTCAGCCGGTCCATCAGAGAATTGCCGCACGTCTTCGTATCCTGCGTCGACCTGTCCCTGTTGTCGTCGAGAGACGGCGACGGTACGGAGTGCACATCGTCCGAATCGTCCTTTCGGGAATTCTGATGCGCTGTGGTGGTGGAACCAGTCTTGAGCATCGGTCCTTGAATGTTACTGAGAAAGATGGCGGCCTTCTTCTTCCTCTCGAGTTGCAACTGTCGTTCGCGGGAGAGCATCTTGTCTCGCGCTGCAGCTATTAATTTGTCCTTGATCCTGTCCTCTTGCGCCTGTTTGTGCCTGATCTCCTTCTGACAATCCTCGAGGATGTCGTCCGTCAGATCGACCAACTCCTTTTCGTCGCTCTTCGATTTCTTCTCCGATTTCGAAGAATCTCTGTCGATGGCAAGCGAAGAATTCGCATCTCCATCTTGAGGTGAGCTTGGCTTGGAATTCGCGTCCTTTTTGTCATTCTCCATCTCTTCGTCACTTTCCTCCAATGGCAACGCGTTTCTTTTCTCTATCACCGTGTTATCCCCGTCTTTCGGCTTTTTAATGGAGAACGATACGGTGGTGATCTGCTTCGCGGATCCCGTGCTCTGTTTTGTCTTCGTGTCTCCGCCATTTTTCTTTTTCGCCTGTATCATCTTCACTCGCTTCTGAACTTCCTCCATTCGTTGCTGTTTCTTCTGCAGTTCCTCTAACTTCTTTTGCTTCTCCTCCTGCGGCTCCTGCTTCTGCAGTAGCTCTTCCTCCGTCAATACCTTCGGGTTTATCGCGCCCTCGTAGATCGTCAGCTTGTGCGCGTAGTAACCGTGGTATTGATGCGAGAGCTCCAAGAAATTGAACCTGGGATCCCCCTTGTTTTTCACAATCGTCTCGAAGTCACGACCGTTCTTCGCCACGTAACTCGCCATTTTGTCAATGATGATCTGTATGTCCGCCGGTGGTACAATAAAGGATGGCCTACTGAGTGGTTTTTGCGCAGGTATCCCATAAGGTACCAATGGCGGAGGTGTTTCCTTAGGCAACGCGGCTTGCACTGCGACCGCGTCGTTCGGCACAATCGTTGGCGCGTTGAGCTGCGAGGGCGATTGCATCTGTCCATTTGGTCCGTATATTACTGGACCATGCGAATACTGCATGGGTGTAGGATAAGGAGGAAAACTCTAAAAAAAAAGTTACAAAATTACATAAATTAACACAGTATTCCTTAAATATTTGACCGACATTTTTGAAAAAATTCGAAAATTTTTTCTCCAAAATTAATTTAAAAAAATGAATTTAGAGATAAAAAAACTTCTCAATTATGTCAACATAATACCAAAAATTTTACCTGCGGAGGCATTGGAGGGTAGTATCCAGCGGATGGTATTGGCTGCACTCCTGGATCGAGCACCTGCGGTGCCTTGGACGGTGGTGGCTTTCCAGTAATTTTGTTGACGAGCATAGAATACGCGCAATCCGCCGACGGCTTGTATTGTATGCTCGGTATGCTAGGTGCCTATAAACGGAAATCACTTTGTTGTAGCATGTTCTGGGCGCACAGCATTTAGTTTGTCTTAAATTTATATCTTCCTACAGTATATTAAAGTAAAAACCAGTGAGATACTGGAAATATATATCACAATACATGTTAAATACTCTAATTGACTATTCTTCACTTTCATAATATTTTTTTTATGTTGAAAATGGAATGACGAAATGATTAAATACTATCGTACGTGTATTTTTAACATTTTTATCGTTATTAATATTCTGCACGCGTGCGAAAGAAAGATTAACGATTAAAATCAATGGTGCAATAAATGGATAAATAAAAATGTATGAGAATATGTCTAATGCATACCAGAATCAGCCCTGGAAGCAGAAATATTTGACAAGTAAATTAGTGTTGCAGATTATTATCAACATTTCATTCTATTGAGATGAATTTCAAGAGTCGTCGTTTTAAAAATAATTCAGTGTGGTCCCAACAAAGATCTTCCACATTTCGAATTATTCCAAACACAAAATTCTTCCGAGAGCTTCAGGGATTTGCTTATGCGTTTTTAAGAGCTGATAATGTATAACGTGCAAAGAACACGTGCAAACTGTATGAAACGTACCGCTTCGATTTTGGTCAATGATGATGCGAGACTCGGATGTAGGTACGGTTCATCGTCTTGGTCTGACTCTTCCTCGGGTTCTGCCATTGAAAAAAAGAGAGAGATGCAAACAATGAGTATCGTTACATATCTCAGGATCATTGAAATAGATTATACATAGCGGTTATAACCCTCAATTAGTATTAACAAAAATTTATGGCAATACTTACGGCAAGAAAAACTAAGTAGAATCAAAGTAGGTGTGGGTAATCAAATCCTGCTTTATGTCGCTTCAATTACTTCAACTCAATAACGTCAACTTCAATGTAATTACTATAGGACACTGCTTTTTATAGAAAGTAATATGCGTACCGGTCTCTTCTTTTTCAGGTTGCTTTTCGGGATTATATTTTCCACTCTTGATAGCTTCGAGGACATATTTGTAATACTGATGAAGCGGTCCGTCTATCGATAGGAATGCAAACTGCGGATTGTTTGCCTGTTTCGTCTTTATTAGGATTTCCATTTGGCTTCCATGTTGACTTATAAACAACGCCGTTTTCGTTATAATGGCATTCAACTTTTGCGTTTCCGGCTAAACATACAAAATTGCGACGTACAGTTATTTAATCGCGTTATACCGATAAATACGCAAAGTGGAATCGATGGAGAAGGTGAAATCTTACCAGAACCATTTCTTCGGGAATTTCCAGTTCAGGAGGCGGCACAAATGCCTGATCTTCCTCTTGCGAGTCCTCTGATTGTTTCGGGCTTTGCGAATCCTCGCCGCATGCCTTTTGGCCGTTTTCATCCTCATAATTAAATCCTACTTGATTGTACGAAGGTTCAGAATCCAATGCTTGGTGTAATCTTTTTATTTCCTCTTCTGCAAAGTACATGTTTACAATTAAAGCATTCTCTCTTTATAAAATATAATCGGAATACTCTCAGAAAAAAATGATACATTACCATGATACATAGATTCTTCCACGTCATTGTTATAGAGGGATCGATATCGCTCCTCGTCACAAAGTTGCTCTACTTTCAGTTCTTCCTCGGTCAGTATCGTCCGTTGATCGAAACCACCTGGTGGTGGTTCATGAATCCGTAAGTCAGCCAGCGCCCCTCGTCCATCGTATCTATACACATACAATACATCTGTTAAGGAACGAAGATGGTATCATTTTAGATTGATGTAGAGTCCGCTACGGCATCTGGAAATTTTAACAAGTAAATCCCACCAAAGCGATTTCTCTGAAATAGAACAGAGTTATAAAGAACAATGTTTCTTTATCTCCACTGTTGCTCTGTTTTTCAATATATGGTGATAATATAGATACATACATTCCTAAACATATAACTTAAAAATAGGACGATTATTCTGCATTGCTTCTAATAATAGTGGTTTCTAATAAAAATTTGTATCTATACGTATTTACTCTTGCACATCTCAAACGTATTTCTTCTGCGGTTTACATTGCATTTGAAATATTGTTGTAAAACAAAACAAGGACATTGTATTGTTGACACAAATAAATTTGGATGTGTGTACAGCATTAACAAATTTATCCTGTAAATTTGTAAATGCATAAAATCTTATGCGCTTCCTGAGACAAAGCCGGGTCTAATATGCTAATACATACCATGCTGAGCGGTCGTACAATACCTACAACCGTCAGCTGCCATTTGTCTCTCTACACCGTGTCTCACCTTGCTGCTGCATAGACGGCCAGCCATAAGCGCCGCGTCACGAGAGCACCTGATTCTGCGCCCGTGTAGAGCGCATAAATCGCGCTGCCACACTGCGCGTTCACAGCCAAGAGAACACCTGCGGAAGCCTTAAACAGTCTCCAGTTTGCTTATCCAGAGATTAACGATGAGAGGGGAGAGGACCTTCTTTCGCTTTTTTTAAATACAGCACTTGGCTTTTTTTGGATTTTTTTTTGTTTTTGAATGTTTTTTTGTTTTTTTTTTTTAAATCTGAATCAATCATTTTGTCGGAGAAATGTAATATTATGTACGGTGCATAGTCTTATGCATGAGAACAAATATCCTAGATGAGAAATTTGTCTAGGTTAGAGAAACGGACCTGTCTATCTTCAACGTGCTATCGCCCATCCATGGTATCAAATGCTTTCCCTGATCAATCATTTTCGCCTTGTCATCATCGCGAAATAATTTGCAGCTATATCCGAACACCAACAGCTCCTGCGGTTCCTCGTCGCTATTTTTTTTACGCAGAATGCCCGAGTCTACCATCCACCGCTGGCTTTTTGACGACGCCATTTTCCGACTGTGAGTGTTCCGAAGCCACGATAGTAGCCTATGCCCTGCGTACACCGTGTCACATCTGATACCTGTGAAGGGACAGAAATGCGCATTGCCGAAATCCCGGAACCCGGAACGCTGCAGTCGCTGCCGATGTAACACGCGTGCGCAAAAGTAAAGCAGTGCCGACCACACTGATCTGGTCACTTTTATAAATGTACTAGAAAATGCACTAACTTGCAGCGCTAACTACAGTAAAAAGTAAATGGGCGCGTTCAGCAGAACAAATCGCTTGGTAGCAATCGAACATGATTGGCTCTTACTTTTAGAACCAACAAATCAACGTTAAGTGTTGACTAGACGACAATTCAGCAGTTGTTCTGCTGAACGCAGCCAATGTATTGGATTGTCCGGAAAGTTCGTGCGGATTTCTCAATAGATGGCGTTCAAAAGCAAATTCAAGCAGGATATTTCAATTCAATGTGTCAGATGCGTACGTATTTTGATAAGTGACATTTTGACGCATATTTAATGATAATAGTTATCACAATTAAATAAAAATATTCCTTTTGGCATCAGTTTAAAGATGGAAGGAAATAACGTGTTTTTTCGATGCATTATACTTTTCTATTTTCGTAAAGGCAAGAATGCGACACAAACTCAAAAAAAAATATGTGCCGTGTACGGAGAGAATGCTGTAAGCGAACGCATGTGCCAGAAGTGGTTTGCTAAATTTCGTTTAGAAGAAATAAATATTGAAGATGCTTTTCGTTCTGGTCGGCCAGTTACCACGGATGTCGACCAGATAAAAGCTTTAATCGATTCCGATCGGCAAATCACAGTTCGGGAGATCGCAGTAAGGTTAAAAATAGGCAAGTCAACTGTTTCCGAATATTTAAGCAAACTTCAAATGGTAAAAAAGCTCGATGTTTGGGTGTCACACGCTTTAACTGAAAAAAATCGTATTGATCGCATTTCCATCTGCGATTTGCTATACAAATTCAACGAATATGATCCATTTCTGAAACGAATCGTAACAGGCGATGAGAAGTGGATTGTTTATAACAACGTCGTGCGGAAAAGGTCGTGGAACAAGCAAAATAAACCGGCATTAACAACTTCGAAATCCGATTTACATTCAAAGAAGGTTATGCTCTGCATTTGGTGGAATTGGAAGGGAATAGTACATTATAAGTTACTACCAGACAACGAAACGATCAATTCGAACAAGTACTGTTTGCAGTTGGATCAATTAAAGATAGAAATCGGCAAAAAGTGTCCGGAATTAATCAATAGGAAGGGCGTAATTTTTCAACATGCTAATGCCAGGTCTTATACAAGTTTGCAGACTCGGCAAAAATTATTAGAGTTTGGCTGGGATGTTTTGCCTCATCCACCGTATTCCCCCGACATTGCACCCTCTGATTATCATTTATTTCGGTCGCTGCAAAACTCTCTTAATGATTTGAACTTTGCTTCTTTGGAACACCTCAAAAATTACTTGGACAGCTTCTTTGCTGAAAAAAACCAGGACTTTTACGAGAGAGGAATAATGAAATTACCCGAAAGATGGAAAAGTATTGTACAAAATAATGGTGCATACATTACAAATTAAAATTATTTTTAACTACAAAAATTTTTTATTTAAATTTTGCTCTAAAATCCACACGGACTTTCCGGATAACCCAATAAAATTATAGCAACGTTCACTTTTCGACACTGCTGATAAAACGTTATGTTGTTATATATTGCGCTACATCCACAATCATAGAATAAAAATACAGTTTATTAAGAAATTTAATTGTGTATCTTGTTATACTCGTTAGATTTATTTTTGTTCTAAAAAATAAACCCTTTCATTATAAATATATATTATTATCGTAATACCTATACATATATGCATTATTTAAAAATTAAATAATTAAACATTAATTGTCTTTTATTATCAAATACATCTGATGTTTTCTAATATTATCAGATTGAGAGAAGAGAGTTAACAGGATAAATCTATGTTATGTTTTTGTACGATGAATTGCGAGTTACTAAATAAAAAAGAAAAAAGATAAACTGGCCAACACAAGATACAAGCACAATGTATGCACTTATATATTATAAAAAATAAAAAATTAACTTTTAATTTTCTTCTTATTTTATTTGTTTAATTATTCAAGCTCTCTCAATTTTTATTCGGAGTAACTGAACATAATACAAGAACGATTTTGTCGAAAAGTGTTTGTTAATAAAGATTAAGAGATCAAATTAACACATGAATTAAAAAAGGTAAGAGAAAAAAAATATTTGATACAACATATTAATGAAATGTACGCATGTATACGTATACATGCGTGTAAATAATTATATGTATATATATTTCGTAAATTACACCGAAAAAGAACAGTTGAATTACCCGCTGCGGCGTTCGTTACGAACGCCGCAGCGGGGCGCCACGATCGATGCTGAGTTGCCGATGATCGCCTGCTTATTTATCGCATAACTTTTCCATCCGGGCAGCTTTTATTCGCGATAACGGCATATTAGGCGTCTACGGAATATTTCTCTGGCCGGCGGTCGCGTCCGCGCGCGATTGCTCGCGCGGAACCCCGCGTACCGCCCCTCAGTACGTTATGGAATGCGCGACGAGCAGCTACCGTGTTACGCGGCTCCGCACGATGCCAAACCGAAAATGTACGCGGATAGTGCGGTACCCCGTACGACGCGGCCGCGGACTTGACGACTCGCCACCCGATACCGGACACGGTGTGCAAGTTGCTCGCTGGCCGCCCACACCGTCCACAAATCGCACGCGCTCCCGTATTTTTCGTCGCCGTCGGTAGCACGTCGTATACGTGGCAACAGCGTGTGGCTGCCGTGCAAGCGCTAGGCTCTGTCACTTCCTAGTCAAGAAACGAGGAATTTTGCCGTAGTAGTGATACGCGCCGAGACGGGCTCGTCGGTATACGTGAAACGTGACCCCGTGGGATTCTACGTTAACTCGGATCGTCCAGGATCGCCTATCCCAGGGGATTGGAGCACGTCGCCCGCCGACAACGCTCTCGCGCTCGATAGGGCGCTCCTGCTCGATCGCGTGCTCGATCATCCCGTCGCTCTCGTGCATCATCCTGTTGCCTGCGCGAGCTGTGTCACACCACCTGCATCTCCCAACGGCATTCCATTAATCCTGATTCGCGGCGGCGTGGTTCCGAGCCCGGAAGGATCGAAGCCCAGGCATCATCGAGAGCGTCGCCTTCACCAGAGGATGCGTACATGAACACGGACGTGGGAATATTTATTTATTTATATACGGTCGTCCCAGAAGTGGAAAAACTCCTCTCCTTTTTTGTCCCTTCAACGTGGATAGCACGGCGGGAATTTGATGCTGTAAGTTTCCGCGTTGGCTACTTGACTTCTGGTATTACACACAGAGTCACTACCGTACTTTGCTGTGTTAGCGGTATTTTGGACGAATCATCAATAGTTATGCAAACATTTTACGCAATTTTGGAGGTTTATACACTAATACACCATAAGATTCTTGAATACAGAAATATAAAAATTTGAAAATTCCACGAGATGTAAATTCATATTATGGGTTAACATTATGACCACTTGTTCGACAAGCTTGGCATTATCGTTGCTGTTCATCATCTTATCACGGTGTAATTCAAGGCATTCCTTTCATTTCTCAATATAATGAGGATATTTTTATGCAAACTTAATAACTGTATAATGCATATGCATAAAGAACTCGACCAGTTGCATATAAATTCACCTTTGATGCGTCATTGAGTGATTTTCTTATGCATGTGCATTGTATAGTTATGCAAGTTTGCTTGAATGTATTCTTAGAGTGGACTAAGACCTGTCTGTAATTGATAATATTACGCATGTAGCAATATAGCTATAAACTATCAATGTAAGTAACAATTCAGTTTTTTATTATCGACTATTTCTCTTACTACAGGCATTCCCAATGGATATACACATCTGTTGATTGCGATGGGCTGATGCAGGCTGCTGCGACTAGTTTATTGGTCTTCGAATGCCCGTCTCTCTACAGCGTTGTCCATATGAGAGAGTTAACTTGAGAGTTAATGGTGCTCCTGCGCACTGTTATCGTTATCTTCTTATCACCATAATGGAGGGGCCCGTTAAAAAGAAGCAACGTATCGAGAATAGCGAGAACGCCAGGAATGGACTCGCCGATATTGGACAGCTGCAGAGCAATCTGCTCAAACACTGTTTGTGCTACTTATCAGAGAGTAGTTTGCGTAAACCGTTCACCAATGCTACAGTGCAGGCGGCCGACGGGAGCATTCGTTCCGCTGTACTGTCCGAGTGGAACACAGATAAGACTCTGGAGTTTTTAAGCGCGCTGCAACTGCTGTTCGACCTGGCCATCAAGCAGAACATGAAGGGCGTGATGTGCAGAAGAATAGCAGACGTTTGCAACATTTTCGCGCGGAACGAGCACGGGATAATCGACCAGGTCATCGACTTGTGCTACACGTCCGACAAGTTTGTGTCGTTCGCCGCAAGTCGCGTGCTCGCATCGTTCTTCATCGTTACGAGAGATAAGGTGGAGACCGCCTGGTTGGAGAGGCTCATACAGTCACTAGTGAACACGCATTCGCCTAGCCAGATGCTGTTCACTTTGGACGTCATAAAGAGGGTAGTCGAATACAAGGACTTCAGCATACATCCCGAGGAAGACGCGTCCACGCCGGCCGGCTGCATCACGCTCGCCATCTCCGACGACTTTGACAGCACGGCGATCAAAGCTATGTGCGTGAAGGCGCTCGAACCCAAGTGGATCGATCTCGTGCTCAAGTTTGACGCAATTCTTTGCGCTTACACGCCGCAATACGAGTTCGTCGTCATCACGTTCCTATATCTGTGGGAGACCATCATCTCGGTTAAGGCCAACCTGTCGGTCATCGACACTCAACTGTTTTACTCGCATCTGAACAATCTTGTGGCGTTTCTAAACACTAACGTACCGGGTATGATCTGGCGACACCTACTCAGTCTGTTCAACGAAGTACTGTGTTACGGCAGTACTTTGGCGCTGCAGGACATACTGCCGGACGAACCATGCTCTCTCGCGCACCTGATCGTGCGTGCTGTCAAGGATTTCCGGCTGTTGGACGGGATACCGTACCGTCACGGCTCAGGCAGGTTCGGCGGCGGCACCGGCGACGGCGATCGTCCGCTGTTGCAAAAGATGGTATTGCTGGTGCTGAAAAGCGTCGCTGTGACGGTGCGTGAGACGCGCAGCGACTCCAGCGACTCGTCTCTAGGTTCGAAGTCCGAGGCCGAGGCCGAGGATCTCGACGAAGACATGGCGGTGATCGAGAGAAGCATTCGCGAGGTGCTGCGCCAGTTGGACCAATGCGTAAAGACGCTGATGCCCTTCCATCCGGAGATGCCGCTGTCGCAGTGGGTCGTGCAGATGTTCCACGACCAGGACGACTTCCTGATCGAAGGTATGGTCTGCTGCCTGGACGTCGCGGTGGGCCTCTTCTACCGCGGACCGCCGCAGAACGATTTAGGCCACATGCTCAGTCCCACGCTGACCTTTGTGCAATTCATACACGCCGTGTCGCACGATCCGGAAGTGCTGCTGGATCTGCTGGTCAGCAACGAGACCTGCTGCTTGCTGTATCTTTTGCGATTCCTCAAGTACATTAGGCGCAACTGGATCGAATTCGTCACATGCTGCGGTCGCGACTTGGACAACACTATGACGGTGCTGATAAGACTGCGGCTGGCCATCGACCGGTTGGTGTCCAAGGCACTGTTCCCGTACAACATTAGTCCGGTTCTTCGCCTGCTCGAAAAGTGCGAGTCCTTCTATGAAGGCAATATGGGCACGAATGACATGTCGGTTGTATAAGACGAGAGAGATCTGCCGCCGGATCGATCAAACAGTTCTGTTTTTCGAGGAGTGTTTAAATCGTTCGTACGAATAGCTAAGTACTCTCCGAGAACATTAGATTTTTGCCATGTGTAAAATATCACGTTTAGCTGTACAGATCGTCGTATAAATGAAAAGCAACCGCCCGTCCCGTCATCGAAGGCTCGTCTCGGAAATTTGTACAATTTATTTTGTCAAATAGGATATCTCTCTGTAAATGTAGCTTTATTATATTTCAATTTAAAATACCCGCGAGGTATGTACATACTTAATAAACGTAAAAATTTCGTAATATAAGTTGCTTGCTAGGTAAAATTTCACTTTCTCTTGATAATTTTGGAAGAAGATAATTCACGTTACTGATTCAGATGTGACGGTAGAAAAAATTACTCAATGTTATTCAATTCGCAATTGCAGTGACAAATTCAATCCATTTGCGCCTAAATAAAAATGGGAAAAATCTTTTCTTTTATGGACTAGTAATGCGTAAACGAACAGGGAAAATGTGGAGGAATATATATATATATATAGAAAAAATTGTATTGCTGTCAGATTCAGATCTCGTGCAGCTTGTACAAATAAAAAATGTAGTTCTTAATTTTTTATCTGGCCAGGAGAGCATATTATACAGCTAGCAAATTTTAATTTGATATTTATAAATATTGACAATATTAAGAATACTCTATTTTCTTTCTCTGTTATGAGCAAAAATTTTTTACTACTGATATTAATGACGTTTCTCGATTGAGGAAAAAAAAAGGAATAGTTATTTGTTTCAGACCTACAAATGAATCGTTATTGTAAATAATGACATTAACAATGATCAACGGCATATTTAGATAAGAATTCCTGCTGTAAGTACACATGTAATACACTAAAAATTCTCATATTTTACTTTTATAATTGTGGTGTCGTTTAATTCAATCTCCCCCTGATTGTGTTTTTATTCTCTCGGGAATTGCGACATCGTGTTCGACACAATAGCGTAAGTTCTGTACTTTTGTGCAAAGATCACTCGAAAAGTGATCGATGAAATTAGAAATTTCTTTTCCAATCAAATATTTATTATCATCTCTCTCACAACGCAAGCCAAATACAATGGTCATTATCGAGACTTACGATTATAATATAGCCCGGCAGATTGTCAGTGATGCCCCGCGCGATTGATCACGTAAACAGCGCTCGAGATCACGGAGTGATGTAATGCTCTGATCAATACATCTCGAACGCTGTTCACGCTCGTCTCATCAGGACAAACCGACCGGATTATTTTTTTTTTCTTCGTTACTTTAGAAAAAACCGATAGAATTATAAGTTTAGCCTTTTTCGGCGTATTTTCTTTTATAAAATTACGCTACTCTCTATTTAGAATTTGCAAATATAGCTCTTATTTAAACATTCGACCGAGAAATTTTGCGTCGAGTAGGACATCTTTTTAAAAACACAAAATTTTGTACTAAATATTTATATTCGTGTATTAAATCATTATTTATATATTTCTGTACTTCGTCAATAAATCACTATTTCACAGCATCATTCTTCCATGTAAAACAAAAACTTAGCGCTACCATACTGTTAAGCATCTTTTTGTTTTCTTTCCGTTAAATTAAACGTTTACTTGTGTTTTCCTCTTCTTGGTTCAAAATGTTGCTTTGCTCCAAGTCGGTAAAACTATTTTATCGCATATTATACACCAACGCGCACGAAATCACGCGAAAAAACTGTACATATCTCTCTTTCTCTCTCTCTCTCTATAGTTTTACTTAACGGAACTGAACGTGTTCACTGCTTTATTGTGATCGCAGCAAAAGTTAGTTTAACAAGCTTCACTAAATCAACAATAGAATCTAAGTTACGTAGCCCATTGTTAGCATCGTATTCAACAGTGGATTATTTATCGCATTTTATCTTTCTCCCTTTCTCTCTCTGGTTTTTTTTCTTGTTTTATTCGTTGCTATACATGCCCCCGCACTATCAATATAATAAACCGCAACATACAATGAAGCAACATACTCTCTCTGTACATGTTATCTAAATGAAAAATATTCCAAGTTTGATTGCGCAACAGCGATAGTAGTTTAAGCAATTTTTGTAACACATACGAGAGACATAAAAAAATTGAAACGTCACGAACATCTTTAGAGACAGCTCTTTCTTTATCGTGAAAAATATATTTCTCAATTGTCGTGTGTGCACTTTTTCATAATTTCGTGGTTTTAAAATCGAACTATTAGTTTGTCGTGCCCGTGCACAAACAATAGTCTGCATCCAGAAGCGAAGTCTTGTCTCGATAAAACTACAAATTATTTTAATTCGTTTTATCTAAGAATATAGATATGTTATCCGGATTCAAATGATGCAATCGTAAAAATTTAGCGTGAAAAAAAAAAGAGGGAAGAACAATTTGCATAGATTCGTCGAACATTTGCACAGAGATATTGCGTTACATAAGTCGTAAGAGGAATATAAAGGATACAGTAATTTTCGCACATGTCGCACATCTTATCTCATTACTAAGCATATATATATATGTATATATATATATATATATGTATATATATATATATACTTATTGTTTTGACTATACTTAACGGTGTACAGGAAGCTTTACTCAACGCTTTATTGCACGTTTACATCGAGTTTGCCTCCTACCTCTCCTTCATTGCTTCTTCTAATAGGAAATCAATGTACAAGCGATTGAACTCACTACATGAAAGGATTCTGGGACGTGTGATGTTTAACAGGGATTTAATTAAAATAAAATCTCCACGCTCTCTTCGCTCGCAGGAAACGATCTAAAACATACTTGCGGATGTAATAGGTGTGTATTGTGGAACAGATTATTATTAAACAGCACGCACGCGCACGTATATATCGGGTGTAACGGCGAAATACAGTCAGGCCATTAACACACGGTCTCTCTATTAACCAGAAGCCTTTATACGCTCTATAGCAAAAGTAGCGACTTTCTCTCTCTCTTTCTCTCTCACTCACGCTCTTTACTCGCTTCACATGCTTAGCCTGATAATTTAAATCCGATTCGCTGACCGAAAAATCAGCTAAATCAATAATGCGCCTCCTCACGCTGCTATTAAGTAGTCGGATGATATGAGCTAATTAGCGCCGCGTCCACCGGCTCCATGCAGGACGGACAGGTCAGTGAGCGTAGCAACCAGTCGTCGATGCAGATTGCGTGATAGGTGTGCATACACGGTAAATAGCGCACCTCCTCGCCCACCAACAGCTCCATCATGCATATTACGCATTCGCCTTTCTTCATACCATCGTATTGTCGCATCGGCAAATGTTGTATCAGTCCAATACGCTTAGCGATTCTCACTTGTTGCTCCTCTTCGCTCAAACCAGCCGATCCGCTACTCTGCACTAGGTTCACTCCAATCCCGTGGCCTCCAATTCCACGACCGAAATTCAAGGTGGTGGACTGCAGGTGACGTTCTCTTATGGGGATTGATGGATAATAAGCTGCTTGCTGTGAACATCAAAATACTTGTTAATATTCGGCTTTTATTTTTAATCCAACATTTTTACTTGTGGATCCTTGAAATTTGTGATATAGAAATATGTTTGTTTCAGAATTTTATATCACATTTGATAAGATAAAATTCCAATAAAAATTAATGAATAAATTTTTCCATTTTTTCCCGCATTTTATAATTAAAATTGTAAATAAGAAAAAACCAGTTGTAAAGAAAATATCACATTACATCAAACTGTGTTATCATAATTAATCACATAAATTCTAAAGTACAAGGTCTAATCATTTAAGTTCCTTTACTTGATTTTAAATACAATTTCTATATTTAAAATCAAGCAATCATGTATAAAAGGTGAAGCATGTCAAATCATGTGTGGACTACAACATTATGATGAGACAAAGAGAAGAGAAAAATTGCAAATGGATAACACAAAGACACGGTTGAAAATCATGAATCTGGGGAATGCAACACTACTTCTCGGACGATAAGAGCGACGCAAATGACGTTATAGGTGAATTACGTTGTAAGAAATCGGCGGTCCGAGGCCTTCCTGCGAGGATCCGCTGGTGGACACGTTGTTCTCGGGATTGTTGCTTAGCAGAGTCGTATTGTCCTGTTGATTGCCGGCGGCGCGCTTCAGGCAGTTGCCCATGTTTACTCGCGACGAGTTGTCAGCTTTGTTCGTCGTCCTCGCGTCGCATTCGCGCGATCCCCGATCACGACTTGTCCCCCTCCGCCCGCGATTACAGAAGCCCGGACAGGAACGGCAACAGCGGAGCAACGACGACGTATGACGCTCGTATGACCGCGCTCATTGCCATTTTACTTGAGACGCTGCTTATCGTGGCACGTCGTCACGCGATAACATTCGTCGCAAATCCAACACGATCAGCAACACTCGCGATTCTGCCCGTCGCGTAACAGCCGTTCGACACCGCCGTCACATACCCCTCGCTGACTACCATCAGCCGAGTCACTACGGTCACTACCAGCTGAGCGCCGCCATGATGCGCGAGTACGTCAGATGGAAGCGACGCGCATAATGGCGACGCGGAAAATCATCGATCTCTGATATATTCTGATAATTTCATTCACGTCAGCTCGATTCATACGTGCAGATTAAATAAGTTCCTAATTTTCTCTACTATCGAACGGAAGGGAATAATATGGAAAATAGTCAAACAGCCGTGCTCCATTTTTGCATTTTGATGAATTTCTCGGATACGCATCGGCGCATGATTTCTCCTGGTATCTTTGTATTGTGTTATTAAAACGCGAAAGCGCGTCTCGCTTCGTGAAAAGACACTTTTGGAGTCGACCGATGTTTTTCGAACGGTTAATAAAACACAATATGACTACGCCATATTACGATTGGCCGAACAATCAGGGATTTACTGACAGTCCTGAAAAAAATACAAATGTTACCATGCACTTTATATCACTAGAATTTTCAAACGTAACAATTGGCAATGTCAGTGATGCCAATCGTTGCGATCACCACGTAATCGAACATCACGGAACGTGGTGTCGTGTCACGTTAGTATTCCAACCTCAAAAGAGGAGATTCCCGCATTTAAAGATTCGCTTGGGAGTGAGTGACGTGACTGAAAGACTTCCTCGCGCGCCAGAGGATGGATAGGATGAACAATAATCACGCGTTGCGTCTGTTTGCGTGCTTCCTGCTAGCCGTTTACACGTCGAGCTACGTAGTCGAGTCGGGCGTGTTGCAGATACGCGGCATACCGGTGTCGAAGAACTCGCTGTATCCGCCGGACCGCGATTTCGAATGCTTCGACGGCAGTCGGTTGATACCGTTCACGAAGGTGAACGATGACTACTGCGACTGTTGGGACGGCAGCGATGAGCCCGGCACGGCGGCGTGTGTGAACGGTAAATTCTACTGCGAGAACGCCGGTCACAAGCCAGCTTACATACCGTCGTCATGGGTAAACGATGGTGTGTGCGACTGCTGCGACACGAGCGACGAGTACGCGTCCAAGGTGGACTGTGTGAACAATTGCAGCGAGTTGGGCAGGGAGGCACGCTTGGAGCAGCAGAAGGCGGAGCAACTGGTGCGCGAAGGTAACAAGCTGCGCCTTGAACTGGTGACAAAGGGCAAATCCATCAAGGCAGAGCATCAGACGCGTTTGACGAAGTTGAGGACCGATTACGAAGAGGCGCAATTAACGAAGAAAGAGAAGGAGTTACTGAAGACGCGGGTGGAGGAACGGGAGAGTTTGGCGTTGGAAAAGTACAAGCCCATTGAACCGGAGCAACCGCCGGCGCAAGAGGCTGGCGAGGAGGAGGAAGAATTGACCGAGGCTGAGGATTACTTCAAGATACTGGATTCAGACGCCAGTGGCACGATAACAATAGAGGAGTTACAGACCAGGGCCACGTTTGATAAAAACAGGGATGGAGCTGTGTCGGAGGAAGAAGCATCTTACTTCCTCGGCGAGAAGAAGGAAGTCACTCTGCAAGAATTCACGAATACTGCATGGGCAAATATAAAGCCCTTCTTGATGCTGGAACAAGGTAAGCAAGTGACATTGAAGTTTGTTTATTTCTTTCTGTCATGATAGTTTACGATTTGTGTTGTGAAACCTCGTCATGTAATTACAGGTATGTTCAAAGCGGCAACGGATAAAGAAGACGTCGACGAAGAGCATCACGAAGATGAATACCTTCCTTCGGATTCCGAGAAGGAAGAAACTGACGGCGAAGCTAACGATGGGGAGGAAGAAGGTGTCGCGGAAGAGGAACCACAAGAGCCGGAAGTTCAATACGACGAGGAGACGCAAGCGCTTATCGACGAGGCTAACAATGCTCGCGAGCGCTTTCAGGAGGCCGAAAAGGCCGTTAGAGATTTGCATTCGGAAATCGGTCAGCTCGAGGAGAAGGTGGAACGCGATTACGGGCTGGAGGAGGAGTTTGCGTCATTGGACGGCGAATGCTACGAATACGCGGACTTGGAGTACATATACAAGCTGTGTCCGTACGACAAGGCGAGCCAAAGGTCCAAGTCCGGTGGCAGCGACGTCACTCTGGGTCGCTGGAGCGGCTGGGTGGAACCCAAGGAACACTCGGCCGGCGCCAAATACAGTAAGATGAACTACGACCAAGGTCAGAGCTGCTGGAACGGCCCGATGCGTTCGACGCTCGTCACTCTGTCGTGCGGATTGGAGAACAAGCTCATATCGGTGACGGAGCCGAATCGCTGCGAGTACGCCATGGAGTTTTCTACGCCGGCACTCTGCAACCCCAATATAATAGCGACGACCGACACACACGACGAATTGTAAATTTACCCTTTGTTAGTAAAATGAAGAGCAAATGATGGTCAGTCGCGCCATGCAATGTGAATGTCAAGCACTTGCGCTCTTTCGTGGGCAACGAGATGAGAATCGAGTTGTAAGGATTTATAACGACGTTTGATCAATCTTCTACGAACATTTCTGATGCACTTCGCGATCAGTAACGTTAGCTCTAACGCAGTAACACAATATTCTTTGTTTTAATGGATATTTGTTCTGGGAGCGAGTAATTTTCTCTTTTTTTTTTTTTCTTTTGTTTGTAATGCGGTCGTTATTGTACATATCTGAATGAGTTTTATATAAGTTTCACGGCGCTAGGTGGTACGTAGCATTTTAATATCGATATATTTTATAATATTTCAAGCATAAAATAAGAATGTTGTTATATGGATAAACCATTGCCAAGATAGAGCCTAGATTTATATGTCAAGTGATCGAAAAACTTTTTTTTTTTATACATTATGCCATATACCGATGGACTACTATAAATTTTCCTGGTCTGTTCAACGAATGTTAATGAAAAAGAAACAAAGAAATGATGAAAGAAATTATTTTTTTTTAAATCAATTTATACGACACACGGCAGACCATTCAAACGGCATACTTAAATAATTTGAAACGAAGAAATGTATAACAGTTAAAGATATTTAAGTGTCCTCGCTTGAATGTGCGCCGCTGTGTGCGTACAAACATAGTCACGATCGCGCTCGATTATTTGTCCTTGCAGTCCGAGAAGTTGACTTAGTGTTAAAGTAAGCTCGTTTAGTGATAACCGAAGAATAACCATCCTCGAACCCTATCGTTCCGTGGAATCGAGAAATTAAGAGCACTGTTGAGCGCAAAGTCATTGCCAATCGTGTTAAAACTCGCTGTTACATTCCTCTTTTTGTACACGAGGCATTTCTATAGTGTAACGTATGTACGAATAAAAATCGAGATATATTACCGATTGATATCGCAAGTCTGAAACATACTTTATATCGATAGTGTGTAACTGGATAAGAGACGATAAGAAAAGAGAAAAAAAAACAGAGTTCCCGGGATTCGATTAGTCACAAATACGTACAGATGTGTCTCTTAATGTTCAGCATTGTATACATTTAAGTCGAATATTTTGTAATTTTTTAAGGATGCGCCACGGGACGGCGCGGTATCACGAGGTGTGAAAGTAATAAAGAGAGAAAGAGAATTTCTGTTGTTGAACCGTAATTTGCGATGGCAGCTTTATTTACATCAATGGAAAGAAATCTATTCTGTGGAATTGTGTACGTGTGTATGTATGTATGTGTGTGTATATATATATGTGTGCGTGTATAGAAGTTCTCTCGTTATTATGTATATTATTACATAATATTACAGTGACATGGTGGTTAAAATCCAGTTTTCTCTATTTCACTCTCTAAGAGACGATCTTTTAACATTTTTTTTTTTTCGTAATCTGGAACGCACATTTATCATCTAAATAATCTAAAGGGGATGATATAACATTCCTCTGTCTTCTTTAATCGATGATACTTCAATTCAGTTCCTCGATTAATTCAGTAAGGCACTTGAAAGGCTACAAAAATCCTTTTTTTTTTTCCCCTCATGAAATTCGACGAGTGCAAGATATGCTGTGTACATAGTTCCCTATGCTTTTTCAAAAACGAAGTTTCACGATAAGCACATGTTTCAATTCAATTATCCGCAATACCGCATTTTCCGTATATCATTTTTCTCTCAACAATCTCTTACAGGGATTTCAATTAAGTTCAAGCTAGGTATATATTAATATCACTTTTTCGACGAAGAACTGTGTGGGCCCATTTTCGCATAATTCGGTTACATATACTACGTGTAGGCAATCTGTAGGCAAGTTTTGTTGGTGGGGAGTAATACACCTTTGTATAGAATAAAACAGAGTTTGCGAGCATCGAAAATACAGTTGCTCGCATAACGCTTCTTAGATTTTTAGCCGTATAGCTTTTATACCCCTCTTTCTGTCTCTTCTACATTTATCAACGTTAATACTATAGTGATACATATATTTATATATATATATATATTTTTCTTCAGGATTTAAAGTGATAACTCATAGATATTTTTTTTCGTATTTACACGATACGGGATAATACACGATATTTATAAATGCGTCACGTCGAGGATCACATCTCTGCTAAATTACTGTACAACTATCTGCAGGCTAAAGCTCTCTGTACGAGAATGTACACGCATTCGCGAATGCGTTCCACTGTGATGAGCATCGTGATCAGGTGTAATCTCAACAAAGTGTCACGTTTCAATCGTGTAGGAAAACACGAACGGGCGAGAGTTGAAAAATGTCGCCGCGAATGATTTCTCTCCTCGATGACGAGTGATTGTTTCTTCAATAAATGTATCGGCGACAAAATAGAGTCGGGTGCTAGCAACATGAAACTGAATGTTGATTTTTGCAAATACCAAGACGTTGTATACGATTACATATCGATAATAACATGCACATAAATGATAAGAAATAATCCAAGTACCAAATGTTTCTCTTATGATACTTCAAAAATTTATCCAATACGAGAGAAATATTTAAAATAACGTTTCGATTCATTACTTTTCGCATGATTGCTCATCAAATCTATTTTTCTATTTCGAATTCTCTGATAAATCGAAATCTTCTACAAGAAATAATTATCTGCAACCTAATCTTTATTTTCGTTCGCTTTTACTATGTTCCGTGATCCAAGTGGTTGCACGCAAAAACGTTATAGGAGACGTGTACTCTACAACAATATGTATACATTTACCAAGCGCTAAACGAGATCGTTTATCTCTTCTCATGTTTCCCGTGTCTTCGTCTTTTTTTTTTCCTTTACGCTTCGACCGCCATTGAAACGTCCCTCTAATCGGACAAAGAATTGCAAAAAGAACGATTCCACATTGCTCTTTCGAAGCGCGTTCATTTCCCGAGTTTCTCGAACATGATCAGCTTCTCTTTAAAGCTCTTGGTGTCGGTGGACACCTCCGATATGTTTCCGTTGAGCATGTTCTGCAGGTCCTCGTCGTTCTTGTTGTTCACCAGCAGATTGTCGAACAGCATCTTCGTGTCCTCCTGTTTAGCCACCGGCGACGTCGGTTGCGACGTGCTCTGCTGCTTTTTCTTCGGATAAATGGAACCGCGCTGATTGTTGCCGTTATCGGCCATCCTGGTCATAATAGTGATGGCCAGCAACTGCTGGATACCCAAGTTCTCTTTGGACACCGGCTCGGAGGACTGACGCCAATAATACTTGTTGTCGGCGGAGATGAGCGACTTGGAGTTCTCGGTGTCGTCGCCCGTTGACGTCTGGTCGGAATCGGTCACCGCCACATTTCTGCTCGACCAGGAGTCCTGAAAGAAATTGTCAGAATTCATTTAAAAAATCCACTAGCGGTTAATTAATTCACACGTTCTTTCAATATATTTTCTAAGATAGATTAAAAATGTCTGTTTAATCAAACTTTCTTATTGTCTTGAAGATAAAACTAGGCTAATTTAAAACAAATCGTTTATATGCAATATCTTTTTGCCTAATTTATATTTTTTGTCAAATATTTCATATTTATGCGCCCCATTTATTACATATTTTCCAATTCTGGGATCTTACATTTTTCTCGCGTCTGTCTACCACGTCCGTGATCTCCTCGTCCTTCCGGTCTTGTTCAAGATCCTTCTCCAGACTGTCCAGCGTCTCGGTACTCTCCGACGACTTGTTTCTCCTGTCCGAATCCAGAGTATCCGTGCTGCCCAGCTCCGAGCTCTCGGAGGATTTCTGGAGCCTCGGCGGCTTTCTGGTAGGAGTCGGCCGCCTTTCTCCGTCGTGATCGTCGCCGGAAGCCACTACGTCCATCATACTGGTACTCGGCACCCTCTTCGGCGTCCTTCTGACCCTCCTGTTCTCTAACCTATCCTCCACCTCCAGATTGTCCGAGCTCTCGGACGACATTCTCTTCGTCGATCGTTTGCCGCTCTTCGGAACGTCGTCGTCCAACATCACCTCTGCTTCGGCATCATCCTTCATCTCGCTCATGTCGATCTTCTCGAAGCTCTCGGACGACTTGGAGATGCTCTTCGACAGCCTCCTACCGCGCGACAGATTGATGTCGGACACGCTGCTCCTCTTCTGCAACTCGTGGCCGACCTCCTCGTCGACGCAGCCGCTCTGCTCGAGCAAGTCGAAGCTCTCCGACGACTTGGACATCGCCTTCGAGCTCCTGCGCGCCCGGAAGTCGAAGCTGCTCCGTCGCCGCTCGATCGAGTCGTCGCTTACCAGCGGTTCGATCGCCTCCAGACTGTCCGACGACTTGGAGACGCGGTCGGTGGATTTGGAAATCGGCAACAGTCTTCTGACTGAAGGCACCGGCTTAACCTCGTACTCGGCCAGTTTGTCGAAGCCCTCTTCGGTGGACTTTGAGAACCAGCAGCCGGGAGACGAGTCCAGGCTGTCCGGCGACTTGGACAGTCGATTCGACGAGGACCTCCTGCGCGGCAGCTTCGCCTCCAATTCCTCGAACACGTCGGAGCCCTTGGATATCCGGTTGGACGGCCGTCTGTTGACCGACACCCATCTGACTTCTGGCTGTTCCTCGACGGCGGCGGCCATCTCCGCGTTGCCACGCGACGTCGTCGTGACATCCAAGCTGTCCGGCGACAGCGAGGTCGCGCTCGCTTTCCTCGGCAGCCTGGATTCCAATTCCTCGAAGATGTCGGAGTTGCGCGACAGCCGACTCGACGACTTCCTGGTCACGCCGACGGTCCTGGGCGTTGGTTCCGTCGGCGATGACGCGCTGCTGGTCATTTGCGGCTGTTGCTGCTCCTGCTCCTGTTGCTCCAGACTGTCCAGAGTGTCCTCCGCGATGGTCGGTGGTATCGACGGCGAACTCGGACCGCCCGCGTTGAACGACGTCGTCGTCGACGCCGTGCGACGCGGTGGACGTCGATTCTTCGGACGCACAGAAATCCGGTGATGCGCCGCCGTGTGATTCAGACTCGCGCTTTCTAATTGCGCTATTGTGCGGAGAAGAAATATCGTTTACACGGCTGCTATCGAAATACCGTGACTTACGAAATAACCAAGTATTTCGAAAAAGTGAAAAAAAATCGTATTATGCAAATTTTGGAAATATTCGCATCTCGATAGTGTTATTTGCTCTTCCATAATGTAAGAGCTATAAAATTTTTTTTTCAATTAATCTCTTTCTCATTACATTAAGTTTTATCAAATTTTTAAAACATTAATTAATTAAATAAGAACCTACTTAGACGAGCTGTAATTTGTAACGAAATTCAATTCTATTAGAATTCTAATAGAATTCTATTTATGATTTTTTGCGTTGTGTGATACAAGAAATATTTGTAAAATCGAAAAATGCAAAGGAGAAAACAGTTTTTAATTCGCAACAGAATTCGAGATAAAAGTCTATTTATAATTTATGAAATATATTTAAAAAATCGGAATATCATGCAAAATATTGATATATTTTTTAAATACATATTTAAAATACATAATATTTTGTATATTTTAATTTTTCAAATATTTTCATAAAATGTATGTCATAAAATTATAAATAGACTTTTATCTCGAATTATGTCGCCAATTAAACTATTTCCAGCGAGTTTTATATAGCAATGATAAGACTTCAGTGTTCTTGATATCAAAGTGCAAAAAATATTAAGCGATATTGAAAATTAGTAGAAAATTACAATATTTTGAACGAGCATCATGAAATATTTCTAAATTTATTTGCAAATTTAAAGTTCAATCAAATAACTAAATAGACAAGATTGCAAATCGTGATTATTCGAGTGAATCAAAGGGCTGTGAAGCAATGAAACTGTAACGTTCTGTAAGACTTACGTAAATCTTCCTTGGCCACCGGAACGGTTCGATCAACCGCGTCTTTCGTTGATCTCGTAATCTACATTAAAGAAAAAAAACAAGAATTACTTCTGTTATCTAATCAGTTCGATTGCGTTTAGGTGTCACGCAATGCCAACGAATCTTAATCCGCGATGTATCGCGACGGTATCATTTTTGAGGATCCATCCGTCAAAAAATCTCGATGAAGACGAATCCTTCGGACAAAAGATCAAACTCTTCACCTTTCTTGCTTGCATCTATTTCTATATTTTACGCATCTTTTTATATTTACAATGTATCTTTTCTTGCATAAATCGCAGATACTGTAAGCCATCCGTCAATTTTTCCCCCCGCGATGCAATCGCACGCGACGCGAATGCGACGAGGACAGAGGCTCTACGTGGGACGCGACGCAATGTAATTCCCGACGCCGTTACCGGCGTTATTCTCGATGGTCGCACAAGCGCGAGCACGTCGCCCGGGCTCTAACGGTATTGTGAGCCGCCGCCGCCGCCGCCGCCGCCGCCGCCGTGGAGTCGAGTCGCCGAGTGTGCCGGCGCGGCCACTTAACCGCGATCGGTGGCTTCGGAACCGGTCGCAGGTGCGTCGCCGCCTGTTTTCAGAGTCATTTCCCGCGCGAGCTATCGCACCGCGCCGGCGAGGACGATAACGGGGCGAGGGGGAGGAGGTGGGTAAGGCGAGCTCGGATCTGTCCGTCTTCCTAACCGGCGCGTAATTGCACGGACGAACGCGCGATTCACGCGAACCGATCGTCGCACGGATGCAGCACGGAGAGACGATAATGAGGCACGGGTGAGTGACGCGAATATAGCTGAACGCTCACCCTTGACCCGTTAAAATCATTTCTATGCGGAGCACAAAAGTCCGATATATCCGATTTATCCTGAAATTATTCATTTATCCTCAATATTGTGCTGCAATATTGAGTCTCCTGTCGAAAAGCAAATTACCTACAATACTAAGTGATGCAGCTTTTATTTGACAATGTCAGCAATATACATAATTTTATGGGAAATTTCAAAAAGTTTTCTTATTTCGTAAAAACGTAAAACAGATTGTCAAAGTTCATTCAATACATTTATCGAAGAGACACACAATTTAGAGCAACATTTAAGATAGTCGCTGCTATCGATCGTTCGTTTACCTCAACCGTATCCTCGACGCGAATTTGTTCCTTCGCAGCTCGGGAGATCCTGAGACTCGACGTCGTATCTGGATGTTTCAATCTGAGGCGATCCTCAATCTTGTACAATGGTCTGATCGACACTGCTGATGCATCCGCGACCTTGTCCTTAGAGTCGTACATAAATCGATTACACAATTGTTTGCTTTATTATTTTTTAACATCGAACTCATCTATCGAGTACACAATTTCTCGGATTTTGCTAATCTAACGCGAGATTGCTAATCATTTTCTATTATAATACTTGAAAATTTATGTCAACTATCTTTGAGTCTCCGTTAAATATTAGTTTAAAAAAATGTTTAATAATTTCTTAATATTTTCTAACATTAACATTTTTAAGTAAGTTTTTTTCAGCATTGCTTTGGCTGTTCTAATTGCGACAGTAAATTGCATTTTGATTCCGTTTATGATTTATTGCTGTAAAATGCACGCTTATTCGCGATTCACGTTAGAAACCTCGTTATTTATCATTCGACCGATTACCTCGATCGTGCCGGAGTCGATTCGAACAGTGTGCTCTCTCTTGACAATCCGTTGACCTTTCGGAAGAATCATCGTCGTCGGCGAAGATGCCAATCTCGTTCGACCGTCATCCTTGTTAAAAGTTCCGATCGACACTATTGGCTGGCACTCAAACTTGCCCTTGAGTTTTTACATAAAACTCAAATTAATCATTTGCGCCCATCGAATATTCAATCGATTGCTCAATTATTGTCTTCCGTGCAGAGATTCGACTAGTGAGATTTCGTTGCGTTCAAAACTTCGAGGTAATTTGCTATATATTACATTGTAACATTAATTTATTTCATTAATATTCAATGATATGATGCAATATTAATAAAAAATATAACAATATAGTTAATGTAATGCGGTATTATTTATAATTCTGTAAGAATACGATGTAATATTGATGAAAATATAATTGCGATAATGCAACTAATGACAGATACGTTAGATACACTTATTGTTGGCGCAATTTTTGATTAATATATGTTTTTGTTTGATATCACAGAGATATACGGTTATAGATGCACAGATATAAATTTAGATATATGTATCCATCAGTTTAATCGCCATTATCAGCTCAAACAATCGATAGCGCGCACCAACGCCGTAAATAAATAAACGAATAAATTAGACACAGCTTCACGCGAGAATGTTGCATTCGAAATAAATTAGAACAATCGCTCGATGAATCACTCGCAACGAGATCCTCCGCTAAACGAATCGGCCGCACGATCGCGATCGACACCGTCGATTTACCTCATTCGCGTATTCCGCGCGCGTTTCTTTCTTCACCCGAAGCGTGAAAGGCGCTTCTATCTTCACCTGCGTAGAAGGCGCCTCTATCTTCACCTGGCACACGGAAAGCGTTTCTTTTTTCGCCTGGCACGTGGAAAGCGCCTCGATCTTCTGCACGGAGTGCCTCTGTCGCGCTTCCGCCCTCGATCTCGATCGCTCGATCTCGATCTTGCGCGTCGCGAGGGGTTTGCCGATCGGGCTCGGTATCTCGAAATCCGTCGCCCGATCCTTGCAGCCGTAAACGCCGATGGTGATCTTCGGCGCCTGCGACTCCACTAGTCCATCCGGGTAACTCTTGCACCGCGGCTTGCCGTCCTGCCGGCTCTTGTCGATCAGCCGCCGCCTCTCCACCGGGTTCAGGTTCAGCTGCTCGATTATCGCCCGTATGTTCGACGATATGCTGGACTCGCGATGCGACACCACCATGATGACGGTAGCGGAGCGCGTAACCGGATCACAATACTTTCCACGCGGTGTGCAGCGGACTTGTTCCGCGATTCATACGAAGCTTCCGGCTGGGAACGCACCGTGCCGTCACGACAGTTCCCTTTCTATCAAGTCAATTTTTACACTGATTCTACTGTTTCCGATTCTCCCCTCGTAACTTCGACATATCTTTTATTCAGCAGCGAATTAAGTTGTCCATACGTGTCTCGCTGATGAGTTTCCTAATTGCAGAAATTTATATCAAAAAATTGTTTATTCAATTCTCAACTTCCCACTTTCTAATTCGTGTTAATTAATTTTGCACTTGTGCGTCAAATAAACCGAAATCCTGATTAAATTATTAGTAAAATTTTTCATTCAGGCGCTAAAATATTTTTCATAATTTACAATTAATCTAATCTCGTTTAATCTTTAACATTATGCTGCTGTCGATAAAATTTTCCGCGCGATAAATCGTGTTCAATTTCGATTCTACACTCGCGAATATTTCCCACGCGTGTCTCTAAGCAAAAAACAAACTGCAATGTCGCGCCAGTTTTCCAATTCCCATAGAGTCGTGCCGAATTCGCAGTTCTTGCAATTTCATTCATCAACTCGCTTTGATTTTCCGCTCGGATGCGCGGAATTCAATTTTCTACGCGTGTGTCTTCAAACGAACGGAGAAACAGCGTCACGCCGTTTCCCCATGATTGCCGCGAATTTGCACCGCAAATTTATTCCGCCATCCATTAGATTAGATTTTCCATTTGCGTGTCAATGAGATTTTCTATTGAATGCTAAGAACGCTACGCGAGTTGATACCCGCGGGAGAACAATTATAAGGCCGCTTCTAGCCGCCTCGACGAGTACCGCCTGGGCTACCTGGTTTTCGCAATTAACCGCGCACCCTTTCACAGAACTTCACACGGGCCAGCCGACCGCCTCGTCCTCGTTTCCTCGACCTATAAGGATCCACGCGATCCCGATCGCTTCCCACGCGATCATCTCTCTCTCGCGCCGTCGCGCCCTCGCGTTCTATCCTCGCGATCATAAACCAAATTGCACGTGTCGATCCCGACGAGATCGCGCACTTCGTGCTGACCTCGAAAATTCTATAAATAACCGCTCCTCCCTTCTCTCTCTCTCTCTCTCTCTCTCTCTCTCTCTCTCTCTCTCTCTCTCTCTCTCTCTCTCTCTCTCTCTCTCTCTCTCTCTCTCTCTCTCTCTCTACTCGTGTAACTGTCCGCTCGTAAAATTTGAAATGCCGCTAATTAACTTTAAGTCGCTAACGCACTTTCCAATTCGCATAATCGATTAAGAAGCCGATTGGCGTATCGAGCGAATCGGCTCTCAAATGAAACATATATATTCTCGTATCTTTCTTTCTTTTTTTTTTCAATACCTCCATTAAGTGAATTTTGCACGCGCTGTTTTCGATTTTGAAACGTGAAAGCGAGCGTCGTGGGAAAAACTCGAATTTCGATTTCTTCACTCCATCGCCGATCGGGAAGTTCGTGCCGGGAGATAGACGGCACGACGTTTCGGATCGACCCACGTGAATCGCCCACGATACATTTGCTCAATACCTCCGTGATTCCTCTCTCGCAATCGTTAAACATCACCGTCGTACGTTCACATTTGTTTTAGCGCGACACAAAGGGAAATCAAAATACTGCCTCGACCTCGATATGACGTCAGCTCCACTCGCGAACGATTCTACTCTTGAAACGATGCGCCCCCCCCGATTAAAATTCACTTGCGCAATTTTTAGCTATTATCTCCTTTCGACTTGATCAAATTCAATTGGTCTTCGGGCTGATGTAATCATTTAATTAACCAAGATAATTTTAATTAATAAAAATAGAAAGTAATTTCGAAATATAAAATTTTCAGCGTGTTGCTTGTGAAATAAATGAAACATAAATGTACTAAAAAAAAAGAAGAAAAAAAAAGAAGAAAAAAAAAAGAAATCTGACTTAATCGAATAATTTACGGGCCGAATCGATAATGAGCGTTGCTTTAATACATAAATGGAATGTTGAATAGTTTAATATCTCGCATCTCGTAATTATATAACGCGAATACACACACGCGAATCACATGTAGTCACGCATGGCACCGCG